CTGACGACTGACAGAAAGCAAAGCCGTTCTGCTCCTCCAGCATGGATCCGTGCTTTCCCTTCCCCCTGCTACGACAGTCTGAACTCATGAAGCCCCCCACCACACCTCCAATCCGTCCCGTGCCAGCTAGATACCTCCCACGCAGAGGGCTAGAGCCATGCTCCCGGCCCACCCGATAACAGTACCACATAAACAGCAGCAGCACACACATGGCTATGGCAAAAGCACAGATCTCACACTCCCTTATAGACTGCATCCCTCCAGCCACCATCTCCCTCACACTCTCTAGTGACCACTCCATTCTGGCTCGTTTCTGGGTTGCTGAATCGGTAGGAAACACAAAACGATGATGGGGAAGGATCAGTGAATGTGTTTTTTCTTGATTGTGATAGAAAGGTGGCCGTAAACCACACACACACTCACACGCGGGGCCACGGGTCTAGTGTCAAGCAGCTCTTATCGCCCCTCCATGATGGAAACAGTCTGCTGATTCAATCTGACACGCTCGCTCTTCAGGCCCAACATTTCAGCACTTTGCAGCGAGTGAAGGTTTCTCGTTGCATGATGTCTGGCCGTGTGGTATTTCTGCTGCTGCCTCTCCTGCTCTTTCAGACAAATGCAGACAGACACCACGCCTTAGGGTTATCAGTTCTCTGGAAAACAAAGACAGAAGGGAGAGAAAAGGGGGGCCATGAGAAGACAGGAGGGTATAGAATTCACAGCAGGAGGACGGTGCCATCAGTGCGCCAAACTCTGTTTACGGTGTGACGTGGGACTCGTTACACTTTGCTTTGTATCTGTGTGAGACACACCTGCCTCTCTGACAAAAACTTACCATCCTGGATCCACCACATGTTAAACACAGCTGCTGGAAGTCACCCACACACTGTTGACTTCAAAACAACTGCACCCCATGCACACACACACACACACACACACACACACACACACACACACACACAGTGAACACAATTTTGAATTCAGCCTTACACACACACCCACACACCCCTGTTCTCCTCTCTATAAAATCATGAGTCATGGGTACATCGCTGCATTTAATTCAAATTTCTCCCCTTTTCTATTTTTTTGCGCATGCACACACACGCACGCGCTTGGAAGAGTGAATTATATAAACGTAAACAGTTGCTGATACCCACCCACATTTATAATTTGGCATTCATAGGTTGCTCAGCAGGAGCTGCATAAATGGATCCTCGGGGGGAGGAAGGAGAAGGGGGAGCGGGTTCTAGTCTGTGGAATCGTATGCTGAGTATATAACAATAATAAAAAGGCTGGATTACATGAGTATGATTATATAATGATAATGGGACCGGCAGCCAGAATGCGAGGAGTGCAATGCGTCAACTGTGATCAGAACTCCAGTCTGCGCTCTCACCAAAAATGGTCGGGTAATCCTGCTCCAACAGATCCTCCCCTACATCCTGTCTGACACCATCAAGACGCCCCCACACCCCCCCTACACACGCACACAGACAAACACTCGCTGCTTTTAGGACACACTGACCACCAAACCCTGCCGAGGAGAGCGATATAAAACGCTCATTCTTCCAAACACTCCACTGTTTGAATGTAATCCGAGCACGGATGCTGCCACCGGGATCGTCTGTCTACAAACTGATGCCCAAAATATTGATGAGCTGTAACGTTCCACAAGGCTCGGTAAACAAGCAGAACTAAGGTCACGTTTCCTCCCCTCTACCTGAGTGTCTGAGGCGGGTTTCAGATTCATACCTACTCAACATTCATGACTGTGGGCATGTAGAAGAGACCGGCGCACAGGTGTTTCTCCAGGCGAAGCTGCGCACCACTGCAGTGCACACGGCAGACGGATATCACAGGAAACAGCTCCAAAATGCACAAAAGAAGTCGTGACTGGAACCAACAACAGAAAATAAGAAAGAAACAGAAATGAGAAGCTGTTCTACCGACAGGCGGAATCTTTGTCTGGCTGTCTGTGGAGGACGGCAGCGGAGGACAGGCTTCAGATAATATTGATGTAAATACTAAAAGCTCCACCAGGGAAGCCACCCAACACAGAAAGGAAAGGAATACCCACCAATATGTCCGGTTACGACTTTCAAAGTAAAAGTCTAAAATTGTAAGTGGAGGAGGGCAGACTTTCAGTCGTAGATTCTGCTGTAAAACTGTCCCTAAACAAATAACAACAACAACAACAACAACAACAACAATAATTGTTATTATTATGATAAGAGCTTCCTCATTAACCACACACTAACCTTTGTGCATAAAATTGTGTTAGCTATGTAAGATTTCAATAAATTAATTTAGGGTCTTGGCATTTTCCTCACAATGTTAAGAAAAGTAATAATTCCGAAAAAAGTAATAAATTACCGTGGCAATAAAAGTAATATATGGGAAAACCATTAACAAATGTCTTGACATTCAATTTACTGTAGTCAGTTATTTTACTTTGAAAGAAAAACTGCCTTCCCTCTGATTTTGGTCTCTTGATTATTTTACTTGATGGAGCTCTTCCGCATGTCTCATGGCTCGCCCATCGACTGCTGGTTAACATTTCTGGAGACACCATTTCCCAAAATGCATTGCAACAAAGCAATAGTTTGCTGGTTATAGTTTATGACAGTGCACATCAAACAACCTTTCCTGGAAGGATTCAACTCAAAAACTATACCAAATTATAATGACATCCATCTCGTCATAAAACGACTAAACAGCCAATAACATGAACAAAATAACTCACAATCTTTAAAATTTAAGCATTTTTATTTTCTTTGAAGTCACTTTGTCGCTATGTAAATGTGTATATATGTACTCGCATTCAAGTGGTTCCAAAGTGTTTTCTTTAAACAGAACATCTGACAAACACTGACAAAAAGAAAAATAACAGTACAGTTAGCATGTATATATTTGGACACTGACACAAGTTTAGTTTAGTTTTTTTTTTTTAACCTGTTTACTGAAACATATGTCTTTTATAAGAGACCAAAGGTATTTGGACAATTGGCTCAAAGGCTATTTCACGGGCAGGTTTGGGTAATTCCTTCATTATGTCATTGTCAGTTAAGCAGATAAAAGGCTTGGAGTTGATTTAAGGTGTGGTGCTTGCATTTGGAAAATTGTGCTGTGAACAAACAACATGCAGTCAAAGGTGCGCTCAATGCAGGTGAAACAAGCCATACTTAAGCTGCAAAAACAGAAAAAACCCATTCAAGAAATTGCTACAATATTAGGGGTGGCAAAATCTATAGTTTGGTCCATCCTGTGAAATACAGAAACAAACTGGTGAACTCAGCAACACAAAGAGACTGGGATGCATACTGTGTGCTCAAATTCAGTTAAATGCAATCAAACTGATTGGGCAGTGTTTCATAATACAGATGGACAATGACGCAAAACATACAGCCAAAGCAGCCCAACAGTTTATTAAAGCAAAGAAGGTGAAGATTCTTGAATGGCCAACCTGATTGTAACCCAACCTAGCATGCATTTCACTTGTTGAAGACTAAATTTCAGACAGAAAGGCCCACAAACAGAAACTGAAAGCTGCTGCGGTAAAGGCTTCAGGCTGTCATTGCCCGCAAAGTGCACCTAAGTTCTTTATTTTAAATTCATTATGGTAATCTACAGAACCAAAATTAGTAAAAAGTTGTCTCTGTCTAAATATTTATGGACCTAACCATATTTGCATATTTAACAATATCCAGAGCACCTTTAAGCTAGAATCACTGCTATGGTTGTTTTGACTCAGCCAAACAGTTAATTTGTGGTTTACATCCATGTCTGTGCACTCATGATACAGTATACATATGTAGTCAGTTATGTCCAAAAACACACCTTTGATTACAGAATTGCATTCACGTCATGAATGAATCCGAGTGAACATTTGTCCTAGATTACCACTGTAGATTCTTTACCTTACGATATAATGCGCTCTGAGACAAGAACTGTTGATTGTTAAGTGGTGCTATATGGAAAAAACTGAACAGATCTAAAGAAGGTGTTCCTGAAATTGAAGTTTATTAGAACAGGACATATAATAAATAAAACACAGAATAAAACATGAGCAAAGTACAATTAGAAGTGCTTATTCTGATGGAGACATTAGAACTGTAGACGGCAGCTAAGTCAATAAGGATCTGTGTACACACTCCTCCTGTGTCTAAAAATCCCCAGAAGTGGCATCGCTTGAATAGAATAGAATAGAAGAATAGAATAGCTTTTATTGTCACTGTTACAGGAACAATGAAAGGCTGTTTGGCATTTCTCCAAGTGTGTGAAGTACACAATAGCATAAGTATTTACACAATCACACACAAATTGACATTTACACAAGAAAGATATGTACAGGTTATACATACACCTGCAAACATACGGATACACCCATAAAAACATACATACATATGTGTATATATACATGTATGCATGCGTACATACATGCACACACATATTTCCACATACACGCTTACATATATATATACATATAAATACATGCCATCTATTGAGAGGTGCATTGAGAGGTGCAGTGTGATCAGTGATATTGCACATCGAGTGGGGGGGTTGCAACTATACTAAATAAGTCTATAATAAATACAGTTTAAAGGGGTAAGGATGTTGGTTGCATTGAAGTATAAACAGAAATATGGTTTATAAATAAGGTGTAATGTCCATGAATGTTGTAAGTGCAGTTATCCTCCAATCAGGGTGGAGGTAGGGCATATTGAGTGCCGTAGTTCAAAATCCTCAGTGCCACTATTTTCTCTGCTGTCTTCAAGATGCTCGCAGCTGTTTAATTTTAGGTAGAGAAAAGTTTGACATATTTCACGACCATTAAATGTTAGAGAAATCTCTGAAAACCAGGTCACGGTTACTTCCCGAGCAAAAACCTCTGCTTGTGCAGAAAAACAAAACTGCTAAGTGACACCAGCTGAAGAGCAAGCATTGAATTGAGACGCTTTGTGTGTGTACAGTGCACACTCTTGTTCTTGGTACCTCTCTTCATGTACCAGTGTGACAAAGTCCAGAACGGAGCCTTCAATGTCAGTCCATCAAGTTCCACCTGAGCTTTAAAGAAAATAAACTCAACTTTTCCTTCGTTTGAAGTTTTTCAGTTCATCCAAGAACCTCAGCAGTTTCTGTTAACATGCTGCTGTTATGCTCCTCCATCTCAACCACTGAGCCTGGTCAGGATGTCTTTAGAGGGAAAAGACAAAAAGGAAAAAAAGGATTTTTTTGAAAGTTTTTTTTGTTGTTGCTGTTGTTTACTTTAAAGAAAATAAATAAAAAATAAAATGAAGAAAAATACAAAGTTTAATACTGAGAAAACTGAGGTAGAAAATAACTGAAGAATAAATTGATGTAATCGATTTGTATACTTTACCATTAAAAGAAAGAAGTTTTTAGGTGCAAGAAAAGGCGTTGCCTGCCAGAGTCTCTCCGTGGGAGATACTGAGACAAGAAACTCACTGAAAAAAAATGCTACTAATTCTAATTTTAGTAGTAGTAGTAGATGTTGTATACAGTTAATGACCCCGCCCCACTGCCACCCCATCAAATAAAACATAATATGTGTGAGAGATGTGAGATGAGCAAAGCAATGACACCAGAGACTGCTTATGTATAGATCCCTGAGTTATTTCCTTCATCCTTACATGCAGGCCTGCATAAATACAAAGGAAGGCAACTATATCATATCTTGAAAACTTAGCTAAACCAGGAAAAGTGCAAATATGTAAATATAGCAAAATAAATAAATAAATGTAAAACTAATAAAACTAAATATTTATCTCTAACATACTAGTTATAAATGGACACAGCATTTAAAAAGTACAGTGTTTCCTTGTGATGTAGTAGGTTAGAAATCAGTTGAAGTTTAATTATACGAGGACAGGACATTAGAGTATACTCAAAACACGAGCAGATGTATGCGTTACCTTCCAGCACTATCCATTATTCATCTGATCAGACAGTAAATTGATTGGTGTTCCTGGAGAAATTCGAGGTAGTGCAGAACCACACAGGCTTTATGGGAAGTTGCCGTGGGCTGACATCTTTCAGCCGACCATCAAATTAGCCAGAGAAGGATTCCCTATTCCTCAACTCCAAGGTCACCACAACTCAGAGACTGTTAAAAATGACAGAACCCTGTTGCTTCGGTATGAAATGCACCCACAATGCGAGTTCAAAAATATGAGGATCAAATGATGATTGTTTTCTCTCACTATGTTTGTCTTTTAAGACGTTTTATTCATATATAACTGGGAACCTGCTTAAAAGCCATGATTTTGTCAAATTTGAGAAGCTGGATAAAAACTTTGGAGATGATTGCAGAGCAGGGGGCAGATGTGTTTTACATCAGAACAATAAAAAAGGATTTAATCACTGACATACAGCAAGCAGGTATTGTCAGACAGGTTTCATCCTGCTCTCTTTTCTGACCATTTTCTACGTCTGCCAAGCACAATGATCTAACTACAAACAAACAAAGCAATTGGCTCTGTGAATATTTGCTATGATCCCTCTACACTGTGAGTTGTCTGGATCAATTAAAAGTATTGATTATAAGATGTGTTGTGTTCAGTTTTGCTCAACAGATTCATTTGTTTCACTGTTTTTGCTCAGGAGGAAACCTCACACTGGAGGACTCGGCCTTGTGTAAAGTTACAGTGACTGATGCGTGGAATATGTCTTTGGGAGAGTACCAGATGCACTTCCCTCTTCCCCCTGCAGGAGGAGCCCTCCTCACCTTCATCCTCAACATCATGAAAGGTTCCAATAGACACAGACTGTTGAGCTGCTGCTCATGTTCATTTTGAAATCACAAAATCACAAACTGACATTTTCTTGAAATCTTAATGTGTTGAGCTGAGCTGTTTAATTTAATAACTGATTTAGTTATGGCTTGAACAGTGGTAGAAGCAGTATTTAGATCTGACTGGAGTAAAAATAGCAACATTCCAGCCCAAAACACTAAATATAGATAATATATTTAAGTGAGGGCAGCACGGTGGCACGGTGGTTAGCACTGTTGCCGCACAGCAAGAAGGTCCTGAGTTCAATTCCACCATCAGGCCGGGGTCTTTCTGTGTGGAGTTTGCATGTTCTCCCCGTGTTTGCGTGGGTTCTCTCCGGGTACTCCGGCTTCCTCCCACCGTCCAAAGACATGCAGCTTGTGGGGATAGGTTAATTGGATAATCCAAATTGCCACTAGGTGTGGATGTGCGAGTGAATGTGAGTGTGAATGGTTGTCTGTCCCTGTGTGTTAGCCCTGCGACAGACTGGCGACCTGTCCAGGGTGTACCCCGCCTCTCGCCCTATGACAGCTGGGATATGCTCCAGCGCCCCCCGCAACCCCGAAAAAGGATAAGCGGAAGCGGATGGATGGATGGATGGATATTTAAGTGAAGCTCCTGGTTTCAAAAAATGATTATTATTATTACTAAATTGATGGTTATTTCAAACTAGAAAAAGGCATAAAATTTTAAACAAATAAGTATCAGAGGTTTTTGAACTCAAATCTCTTTAAGATTCAGCTTTAATTTGTTGTTTGTCTTTGTCTCTCATTATTTTCTCTAATGCGTTTGTTTTTGCAATCACAGAGCTTTGCAGACAATATATGGAGCTTGATCAGCAAGACTCATGATCTTCAGTATTACGGCATCACATCGTATTTGGAGAGCATGGGTACCACACATGTGTCTGTGCTGACCGAAGATGGATCCGCTGTGTCTGTCACGAGCAGCATCAACCACATGTCAGTGTCTGGATGAATCTGTTTTACTGTTAGGAAGCAGCTATCAAAAATGTGTCTTCCTTTAAAACTGAAAGATTGAAAAGGTTTAAGAGATTATTTTTAGAAGCTGCTTTGTAAAATGTCTCTACTTGTATGTGTTGTAGATCATTTAGCATTTTGTACTTACAGATTTGGCTCCAGATTCCTCTCTCCAAGCACTGGAATCATCCTCAATGATGTGCTGTTTGACTTCTGCACAATATCTAATTTTGGTAAGGGATCAGCTGGATACATTTTACACTTATGAAATACAAGCATAGGGCAGAGCGATGTTCCTCACAGCAGTGGAGGAAAAAGAAATAATTGACACTGTACACATGTGCAAATATAAAACATCTACTGATTGTAATGATATTTACATGAAAATCGTCAAGAAGGTCATAGAAAGAATTGTAGGACCTCTAACATATATTTGCAACTTATCATTTCAGACGGGAAAAGTTCCAAACAAAATGAAAATAGCTAAAGTTGTGCCACTGTACAAAACTGGGGACAGACACCATTTCACAAATTACAGGCCTGTTTCTTTACTTCCACAATTATCCAAAATCCTAGAAAACCTGTTTAATAAACGATTAGACAAATTCTTAGATAAATATAAATTACTTTCTGACAGTCAATATGGATTCAGATCAAAAAGATCAACATCTCTGGCATTAATCGAATCAATTGAGGAGATTACAAATGCTATAGATCAGAAACAGTATGCGGCTGGAGTATTTCTGCATCTCAAGAAAGCATTCGACACAATCAATCATGACATATTAATTAATAAACTGGAACGGTATGGGATTAGGGGGGTTGTACTGCACTGGGTCAAAAAATATTTAAGTGACAGGAAACAATTTGTGAAGCTGGGTGTCCATTCCTCATCATGCTTGGACATTGCTTGTGGTGTTCCACAAGGCTCTGTACTGGGTCCAAAATTATTTATTATTTATATAAATGATATTTGTAAGGCATCTGATATATTACAATTAGTATTATTTGCAGACAACACAAATATTTTTTGTTCTTGGGGGAATCTAAAGGAGCTGCTGGATACAATTACTTCAGAAATGTGCAAAATTAAAAAATGGTTGAACAGGAACAAACTATCGCTAAATCTAAGTAAAACTAAAATAGTCTTATTTGGGAATTCCCTTAGAAATGCACAAGTGCAGATTCATATAGATGGTGTGGAAATTGAAAGAGTACTTGAACATAAGTTTCTTGGTGTGATTTTAGATGATAAATTAAACTGGAAGTCTCATATAAATCATATACATAACAAAATTTCAAGAAGTGTTTCATTTTTGAGTAAAGTAAAACACATTCAAACTGTTTTCTAAAAGAGAACGGGGATACAATTTGAGGGGGGAATTAAATTTAAAACATCCTTGTGTCCGTACAACATTAAAAAGTTTTTGCATCTCTGTGTGTGGAGTGAAGCTGTGGAACAGACTAAGTAAAGATATGAAGCAATGTCCGAGCATGGCGCAGTTTAAAAAGCGGTTTAAGGATATGGTTTTTGCAGGATACAGGGAGGAGGTAGAGATTTGATAGGGTGTCCTTGTCCAATATTTTCATGTGTGTGCGGGTGCACGGGCATGCTGGTATGGGTATATATATCTGTAGGTTGTGTATCCTTTGAGGTCTTACTGGGGTTATTGAAAATGTGTATATGTGAGTATGTGTGTATATATATATATATATAATAAATAAAATAAAAAAAACACAAACACACATAACATATAATATAATTGCAAGGAGGTATTTCTGTAGTCTATTGATTTATTGATTACTAGATAAGGGGTGGGATTAAATGAGTTTATGCTTCTTCCTGCTCCTTTTTGAACATGACAGTTATTTGTACATGTTGCTCGTTTTCCTTTTGTTTTGCTTTGTTTGTTTGTCTCATTTTAATTCTATGTTGTTGTACTTTTTCAACATGTTCAAAATAAAGATTCAATCAATCAATCAATCAATCAGCTACCTCTGCTTACCACAAACACACTTCTCTGCTACGTTGTGTCTGTCAGTACCCACACAGCGGATATATGTGCGCAATACGTGTTTCTGGGAAATCAGGCGGTTAACTGTCAGAGGAAGTGAATTACCGACGTTTATGCAGAGAAGAAAGCAGCGATGGCTGAATCAACCGAGCACGTTGAGGGAGGAAATTTGTCTCCCATTTCCCCCCTCAACGAGGACACTGAGGACGAGGACGTTGGGGGGGCAAATACGACTCCTATGTGTCCCCCCAACGAGGACGTTAAGGACGAGGATGTTGAGAGCGCAAAAACGACTTGTAATTGCCCGCCCAAAGTTCCCTGCATATTAGTTGTTGTTGTAGGTGCAGTTTTTCTAATTGTAGGTGCTCTAGTGGCTGGTCTACCAGCTGGTTTTATTGGTTTTTGGAAGGGTAAAAGTGAGTGTGTCAAGGACCCCAGTGCTGATTGCCCTTTTTCAAAAGCTGCTGTGGCCGCAGACTCCGAGAAATGTTCACGGATTGGACGGTGAGTAACATTTTAAACTTCTGACACATTTTTGTTTTTCACATAATATTACGCACCAAATGCAAACTTTAGCGCTAAAACATCTTTGAGAACTACGTAACCCGCGTCTCATCCTGGAAGTGTGTGGTTATGTTCCCCCCCATCTATTTACAAAATAACTACCGTACTCCTAACTAAATTTCTACTTCTTTACGAAACCAATATGCCATTATATAAAAGGCAAAATTCCACGTGATTCTGTATAATACAGATCAATAAAAAATCTTCTTTCCCTACTAAATGATTTATTGGTCAAAAACGGAGAAAAAGCTCTAACGTAGAAACTATGATTCTTACAGATGTGTGTGTATTGTCAACAGAAAGTACGGTAAAGAGATTAAAAATATCATGCCACATTTGACCTCTGACCTCTTCTTCGAGGTCAATAGATTGATCTGAAGGTCATAATGCTATTTAGAACTATTTAAACGTATGTTTCTTTCTAGTGATGGGAATTCAAACTCTTTTAAGAGAGCAAAATATACCTTAAAATATGCTAAGCAAAAATAAAAAAAAAAAAGCATCAAGGTAACAGTTTGACTGTTTAATTTTTCAACCTTTCCAGACGGTTTTCTTTGTACCCACTGTTGTTTCTCGTGTGTGTGTGTGTGTGTGTGCGTGTGTGTGTGTGCGTGTGTGTGTAATCAGATCCCATCATTAACTTCAAAGACCCGGATCTAAGACCTGTTTTGTTCCCAACTGAAAAATCACTATTGTTACTGACATCATCTGTACTGACAGCATAGAGGCATATAGGGAATAATATCAGTACAGTATCAGGGTAAAGCGTGTAATAGACATGTTGGTGCGACATGTGGATATCACACTTTGCCGCTCCTAATTTAAACACATACTTGTGTTGCAGTAAGCTGCAGTACCAACAGTGATATTTTACTTCAAGCCAACATGAAAAGAAATTTTTAAAGATTTTTTGCTGCAGATTGTGAAGAACAATGCATACCATTCAGTCAGTTAAACACTGGAATCAAAAGTGTATCTTATTCGAATGATTAGTGGCATATGGGGTGGCTGTAGCTTAGGTAGTAGAGCGGGTCACCTCTTAACCGGTTGTTGGTTCGATCCCAGTCTGCATGCCAAATATCCTTGGGCGAGATACTAACCCCAGGTTGCTCTCCCATGCATCCATCGGAGTGTGAATGTGTTTGGATGTTAGTTAGGTAGCACTGAAAACCTGGGTGAATGAACAAGTTGTATAAAGCCCTTTGCTAGTAGAAAAGCCATTTACTATATTATGAAAACATTTACATGTAAATGCATATCAGCTAACTAGCATAACCCTTGGTGTCAACTTGTTTAAGTCACAGTTCTAGTATCAAGTCTTCCCAGTCCCCTAAAGAATATCAGCTTACATTCACCATTTTTCTGATTCTGTCATTTCTTTTTTTAATTACTCAGCTTTTTCTCGTGTAGCGTTCAATTCAGTTAATTTAAACCTTGTAATCTTCAGTCTTATTTAAGCTTTTTTTGCTACAACTTTTAATATTTTTCTCAGTTTTTTTGTTTGAAACAGTATGTAATAATTTACTTCCACTTTTTTTTATTTGCAAACACAATGCTACTGTCTTCTGCATTTTCTGCATACAAATATTAACTTTCTCACTAATGTATAAGTCTTTGGATCAAAATAAAGTTGGTCCTCCTTATTCACCTAAATTCAGTGCAGGTTCAGTGCAATTACCAAAACCTAACACAGGATTAAATCCTTTCACTTTTAAACTGCTGTTTAAATTGCGTTTCTACTGAAACTGAGCGCTCAAAATGCTTAGTTCCATCAGAGAGCTTTGTGGTCAGCTTCATCTGTCCAGCATCAAACCCTATGGAAAAAATCTTGTGTGTGATATTTGACATATTTAACTTGGTGGTTAAATACTGAAATGAGGACTCTTCTTTCTGTGAAAGATGGTTAAATTGTAATTCATGCTCTCATTTCCTCCCACTTGGATGATTGCAACTGACTTTACACTGGTCTCAGTCAGTCCTCTCTGCCCTGTCTCCAGCTTGTCCACAGTCCTGATGCTAGGCTCCTCACAGACACCCGAAAAAATGGATTTATACAATTTAAGACCCTCCTGTTTGTCTGGAAATGATCACGTTAATTTAAAAAAAAAAACACGTTTTGTTTATCGAGTGTTCTTTTTTTCTTCTTCCATTTTTATAAACAATAACACTTGAACATAAGACAACAAAAGGAGGACCAACCACACAAAAATAAATCAGGGAGATTAGGCCATTTAGGTATAAGTTTGACATACACAGGGTTACAAGTTGAAAATTATGTACAACCTGGATACATATTATTACCAGAGATAATATAAAGGAATACCACAAGACTAGAGAGTAATTTCTCAGTAAGAAAATGTTTCCATTTCTTCCAGTACTGCTCACATTTTTCTGAGGACAGTCTCAAGGAGAAGGTTAGTCGCTCCATAACGTGAATTTCGTGTAGTATTTCTGTCCAGTCCGAAACAGTTGGAGGTTCCTTTTACAACCACTTGTGTGTTATAGCTTTTTGGCTGACCACCTGAAATACCTGTAGCAGGTATCTGTCGGCTAAGTAAAAGACACTGAAACTCCTCTCAAGATGTAACCCAGTTATCTGCTTGGTTCTTTAGACCACTTCTGTCCAGTAGGGGGCGATTTTAGGACATTCTCCAAAAATATGGAAGTGGCCTACTGAAGTTTATGGAGTTCTTTAATCTTAGGGGTGATTAAAAAAACCTCAGAGTTTTGTTTCCAGGTGAACTCTCTCCATGAATCGGAGCTTGAAGTAGTGGCTGTGGTTTTACATATTTTAGACCAATCTTCTTCAGATAGGTTTATTCTGCCTCTTTCTCCCATCTGAGTTTAATGTAAGTGGTAGAGTTTCCTTTCTATCTGTAGTATTGAGTAGGTCATAGAGATTTGTTTTTTTGTCAGTTTCCCTTTACATGCATCTATAAAAATTTGAACTAAAGGCTTTCTCTCCTTGGACACAATAGCTGTATTAAAGTGATGTCTTAATTGGAGATATCTAAAGAAGGTTGTAACTGTCTGACATTTGTTGAAAGGTATCGACACCTTATTGAGATGATATTTTTCAGTATGCGGTAATACCAAAGTTGCACCAATATTTAAACCTACTATCAGTTTTTGCGGGGGTGAATTTTGTGTCATATGCTGGCCAGTGTAGTATTCTTGCATCACTTTCTTTTTTTTCTTTTTTTGCTCTTGACGAAGGCGGTCGCACTTTTCTCCTCTCCTCCTCTCCCTTAGCTTCCCTGCTTAGCCTCTTATGTCCTTGTCTAGTCTCGTGTTTTTTGTATTACTTTTCCCTGGAACACTCTCTCACAGTCTGTTCTCTAAAACCTAAAAGAGGAATTATGGATTTGATCAACTGGTCCCTAAATGCAATTGACACCCCTTTCTCAACGAGAAGTTTGGGCTTGGGTGAGCCTGAGTGCTGAAGATATCTACCTATTCGGAACCATGGTAACAGGGTTCTGGCTGATCGGAGCTGGCTTGGCCCTGACTTATCGAAGAATTAAGAAAGCGGAACCGGCTGTTCAAACCCCCACAAGGCTGCCCGCTGGGATTGGAACGATGGGAGAGGCGTGAGTTTCTCAAAATGGGCTCATTGAGTCAGCACGGATAAGATCTTGGAGAGGCTACGGCTGCTGTGAATACTCAGAATAAGATCTCTGACTGCAGACTGGATACATCTCGGAAGGGCTCGCTCGGAATAACATCTCTGGGCGCAAATTGGATGACATCTCGGGGAGGCACACTGCCGTGAGTTCTCAGAAATTGGCTCCTTGAGCACAAGAAATGACAACATCACAGAACGCAAGTATGGCGAAGCTCGCAGCTCTCCAACGGGAGATTGAGAGACCAGTGTTGGACTGTAGAACTGCTTTGAAATTCATATGAGCTGTTCGCACTAAAGTAAAAACCACCATCACTTCATGCGGATACCCCTTTGGCGCCAGCTGTGCAAGGCTGGAGCTGAACAACAACCCTGATAACGACTGTGTTTAGTCTGTTCCTTCCCATTCCATGCAAGGCCACCTGGGTTGGCTGGAAGACTGTTTACTTAGCCTGGCAGGGCGAAGGACACTGTCTCAGCTGAACTCTGGACACGCACACACATACATATACACTGATATGCACACACTCATCCCCCCTCCCTTTCCAAACGCCTTCGACGCTTATTCCCTTCCGATGCTGACGGTGGATCAAGGAGACCAGCGCACGCAGGCCCGGATGTACTGTCTAATTCGGCTGTCTCTCACCCTTTACCCACCCCTGTTGCTTGTCATGTGTTTCTTTGGTGTATTAAGAGTTTTTTTCATGTGCTATGTGCAGAGGTGTTTTTTTCTGTTCTCAAACTGATCTCCCTGTTGGAGCTCAGTCTGGGGGGAGTTATTTTTTTCTCCTTATCTTTCCTCATGTGGTGCATTTTCCATTGTTATACCTCTCTGACCTGTCTTCCCCATGTGATGTTTTGTGTAATGTATGTATGGTCGGAGGGTAAGATGGCGCTGCCATTGCGTGCAATAGGTTGGTTAATTAGGTTAATTTGATTGTGGGACGTGATTGAGATTAAAATTCAGTGAACTGTGCATCCCTAGCACATGCATCAACGAAGACAACACATCGTCGTGTTATTCAGTCATGGCAATTTAATTGTGGGACATTATAATTTTAATAAAGATTAAAATTAAATTAATTGTGCACACATGATAACAATAACACTAAAGTGATAACGATGAACTGTTTCAGGGACATTCTTCAGAAAGGCGGCTCTGCAGTAGATGCTGCCATTGCTGCGCTGCTGTGCACCTCCATCATCAACCCACAGTGCGCAGGGATCGGAGGCGGGGTCATATTCACTGTGATGGACAGCTCTGGTAACAAGACACCCTCGCTCCTCTTAGCTCAGCCCTGCTGGGGAATAACATAATAATATGTCATCTTTTCAAAGGTAAAGTGAAAATCATCAACTCCAGAGAGACTGTCCCCAGCAACGTGACCTCTGACCTCCTTAAGTTGTGTCCTAACACCACAGAGTGGACCGTGGAGTGGCCGCAAGGTGGGCTGTTTTTCTGCCATAATGCTAATATTTATAATGTTTTAGTCTAATCTGCTCTTGGACTCACCTTTATGACACAGTTAATTTATTCTGTACAGGTCACTGCTAATGCACACTGTGAGTCATTCCTCTTTCCTCAAGAAAGCAAAACAGAGATGATAAAAAAGAGAGCAAACCACTACAGAGGGTTTGGCCGTTGGCATTTATTAAAGACAGCGAGTCAGTTTCCTATATGACATCTGTCAGAGTAATCTAACATAAACACAATGAAAAACATGCTAATTAGTTTCAGAAAAAGCCAGAGAGATTGGAGTAGTTAGATCTTTCTCCAAACAGGTCTTAACAGGTCTTTCTCCAAATCATGCACAAGATGTAACACAAAAGTTTTAAAGGGGTAGTCAGTTATCTGTAGAAGTATTTTTTTTAAATTCAGCACTTTAGTCTGCAAGACAAACTCAAGATATGAAGGATCATACCTTTGTTTTATCACCTGAGAGGGTTCTTGTCATCAAAGAAGCGAAGGAAAGAGACAGCATGACTGGTATCTCGTTAAAATGTCATCCTCCTCCTCACCTCAAACCTCATCTACTGAACAAAAGTCAGGACTCTAACACACTAAGGAGTGCATAAACATTATTATTTAATTACTGTAAACAGACTGGACAATTAGCGCTTCCAACTCCAGGCAGTCAACAACAAACCAGCTAAAGTACAACAGCTGGTGATAAGCTAACATTAAAGCTTTCTTGCCAGAATGCTGTCCCATCTTTCCCATTTTCTGGTGTTCAATTAATGTAAATTCCTCCCCAAGACCAATCTTAACTCTCCTCACAAGTCCATCTTTATCAGTCATTGTTTCTAATTTGGCTCATCTCCACTCGTTCTGTGGCAGATTATCTGTCTGTGGAGGTGAAGCTGGAAATGTTGTGAGATGCTAAAGTGGGGCCAGAGACACAGCCTGCTGTGGATGAACATGTCCCTGTCCCTTATGTTGCTGTCAGCAGAGTACAAATGACCTTCCTGCATTACTCCCTGATTGTCTATAGTGTTTTGACTTTGAAGGGAAGCTGTGGATCCATAAGTAGAATCAGCATAGTCTCTGTTAAGTGTCTTTTGACAGCATTTGAGTATGGGATGGACAGCAATAAGAACTGGGAGTAGTTATTGGAGCAGTTCACTTGTGTCAGA